TTATTTGTTCATTTAGTTCTTTTCTTTTGTATTGTTCCTTTTTCAGCACTCTTTTCTATCTACTTTTTTAATGCTTTTAAGATTGTACAATTACACACAACATGCAATGGGTCACTGTCCCAATTGTCTGTTTAATAAACGAAAAGTTTAGATTAATGCATTTTATCAGATAGAGAATTTTCTAAAATTTACTATGATAAAAATTAGTTTCACTGAGTTATGATGAAGATTTTGGAGAAAAAAATCAGCAAACCAGTCTTACATTGTGCAGCTTCATTTTGTCTTCTCTCTTGAACAAACCATCGTGGACTCTCCGGTATAGTCCAAATTGTGATACATCCAAGAAGAGAAAATAATCCGACCCAAGCTAATCCCCAATTCCACGTATTGTGACGTCCTGTAGTATTCAGCAATATTTATAATAATATACGTTTGACGATACATTTCAGTTTACCTAATATCCATGGTAGACCAATAATTTGACTGAGAAGAATGCCGATAACAATCCATAGTTGATGAAATGCTCCTACTGTTCCACGTAAAACACGAGGCGAAATATCATATAAGTAAGACGTTGTCGTTACACAACATTGTCCTAACATTTAAGGATATACTTCCTATGTTAAATAAACCTATAGAGATTGTAATTAAACCTACGAACCTGCACTAAAACCGGATAAAAATCTTGATATAAAGAATAGAGCAATGGCAGCATGCATGTTTTTTTTCCCCTTGTTTGCCTCATCATTGTCAGGATCGAGTGGTTCGTAACCGTGATAAATATACAATGTTAGTATCATTAATACGGATGCTACGAATTGAAATGGATAATTGATGAATATGGCATTTCGTCTAAAAACAAATCTCATTTTACTCATACTGCATCAAGCTCTGTACTGTGATACCGTGATAGATATTTATACCAATATTGACCGGTAAATGCACCAATAAAACCTCCAATCACAAATAAGACAGTATGTATCGAATCTTTAAATTTTTGTCTTAAATATTCCAATTTCCCGTTAATTAATGGTAAATAGTAATAATTTCCCTGAGCTTTATGATCAGGATCTGAAATGCATAAAACATACAAATTTTCACAATTAGTTTAATGGCATTTTATCTTAATAATAAAGTTTACTGCTAACATTCACAGCTCCACCACTTTTTAGCTATCCATTGTGATGAGGAATCGTTCTTTTGACACGGATACGGTTGTCCTCTAGCCCATGGCATTGTAAAACCATTGTATAAATTGGGACCGCCGATATGAACTCCCATTACGAAACTTGTGGTAATCGTCACTGTGAGACTTGCAATTAACAATACTGATGTCCATTCCTAAATAATTATTCTTTAGCATCAGAATACCATTTATGAAAAGGATGGAAAGTCAGATGCAGATGCAAAACGATAAATCTTCAAAAACAGCAGCATACGTGAAAAGAAGATTCAAATAACATTTCCCATCACTATTTACTCTTCACCAACATTTCTATAGAATGTTTCTTGTCACGGTCGAAATAACCTTGATTTTCAGTTTTCTGTTTGGCAGCCTACAGCGAATCCATTGCTTCGCACAAAAAGAAAAAATTTCCTAGGAATTTCTCAAAAAGTTTCTGAGAAGTTTTCATATTTCAAGAGGTAGAAGAATTTGTGTACTCTTTGATGACTTTCTGATACTATTAATCAGCCATTTGGGTCTTATCTCACATGTCTAAAACCATTTCTTATCTAAACAGAACCTGTTTTACTGAATTCCCTTGTCACATATATGTTTATTCAAAATAAAATGACTAATGCTGTTATGATGTGAAACTTCAACTGTTTCTAACTAAAATAGTGTTAAATAGTGCTAAGCCAAACATAATTTGACACGAATTTTTTATTATGCAAAAAGAAATAGATACTCTTTTCACCTGTTTTGGTGGATGATTTGTCATCGCTAATACAGATGTAGTTTCAACAGTCTCGTTTCCAATGTCCACTGCCATCTCTCTCGAGGTCTGTTACTGAAAAAGATTCAATGAAACAAACATTAAACTACCGATAAGCAAAATATTCAGAATGTACTTTCACACTCAACGTTTGCTTTTCTTATTAGCATCTCGCTGATCTCTCTACTTCGTTATTTGCATCGAGTGTATAAAATTTTCAATCTTTTTACGTCACAAATATAAAACCAAATAAAGCGCAATATTTGTGTTGTTTCGGTTAGTGTGAGATACTAGAAAACTTTCTGTTCAAATTTTAAAGAGAAGTTTATAGAAAAACAGTAGAGAGTAGAGCCAGAGAGAAAGAAATAAACTCGACTATCAATCGACCAATAGTTATGCAAAAGCAAAAGACTCATTTACGTGAACGAGTAGTTTGTCAAGTGTTATATAAGCTAAAAGCATGGAAGATGTGACTTTTTGCAAGGTATAGTGCTACTAAAAGAATGTGAAACTCTCCATTTGCCTCCTGTGAAAGTTATCCCATACGCGACCACCACTAATTGCATATTGTGATCATTCATTCTGTATAGCGTATAATTAACTCAAAATGTGATCAAATATCTATCATCAAATGAAAACGGCTTCCAAGTCTGCTAAAGTGATACGCCATTATTTACTTTTACTGGTCAATTTACTAAGACATCTTTGTCATCCTACAAGGTGAAAGGAGAAGAGTTGCAAGTTTTTATGAACATAATTTAATTACTTGCGAACAAGAACAGACAATTCTGAATTAAACTTAATACATACCACTAAAACACCTCGTTTGTCATGAGAAAGATTTGAATATTTACTTCAAACTTTAAACGTGTACAAAACACATGGCGCCAAAAGAATAGAATAATCTCATTACTATCTAATTATAGAACGAACTCAGATGCCTAATCGTTCAG